ATCCCAGCTTGAACATCAAGACCCAGCTCAATACAACGTGCAGAACCAACGCCACACCGGATATCACCGCCGTCGCCATCATCTTTCTCTGCGCTTGTAAGAGCTTCTGCATCAGAAAGTTAAAAGCGTAAGCAAACAGTTCCGGTATCATCCATATAGAGAAGATTCCGGCGGCCTAGGATATGCTCTCCGTTTGGCCTATCAGCCTCATAATCGGAGCCGCGAATATGTATGACAAGCTTAGGAGCAAAGCGGTTGAGTTGAGGATGATCCATGATCTTTGCATGTATACCCCTAGCATATCAAGCTGCCCCACTCCAAATGCTTGGCCGCATAGAGTTTCCAGTGCACTTCCCATGCCAAGCTATTTAAGTTTAATCAAGTATTATTAGTATCTAATTTGACCAACTAAATGAAAACCGTTATCCATGGAAATTTAATTAATCAACAGATTTACCATGATGCCGAAGGAGAAACCAGAGATGAAGGCTTTCTGGACAGAGACAGCGGCGAGAGTCAGAGTGCCAACTTGGCCGGAAAAAACTTGAGTGATTGCTCCAAGGGAGTATTGGCAGATGGAGGTGAAGATGGCAGGGCCAGCAAGGAACCAGAGCTTCTTAGACTCAACCATGTACTCTTTAAAGAAGTCACGGACAACGTTGATCGGTGGGATGTCGTCGGCGCCGGCGCTGAAGGTGGTGGAAGGAGCAGTTGGAGGGTTTAGAAAGTAACTGGTCCTGACGGCGGCTGTCCTCGCCGATTGGCCGAGGGGAAAGAAGCGATTGCTTGCGTCATCCATAGGAGACAACAAAAAGCAAGGAAAAGAATGTAAATACAATAGTATAATTTGATCAATTATGGATAGGCCATTATTTAAAAGGTCGAGGCTTGGATGGTTCGCATTTGCGGCACGTGACATTTTGCTCCCTCATATTTAGGTTGATCCGGGTTCTACTTATCTGCGTTCGCGCGATTTTGTTTTTTAAGATATACTATATTTAGTATCGAAATTTTTATTTTATTTAATTTCAATATCTAAATATTATTTTTCTTAAATCATTTTTAACATTTAATTTAAGTTTTATTTTAGTATTCTACTATTAAAAATTTAACGATTTTGTTAACGTGTCACCATTAAATAATAACACTATTAATATTTTTATTAAATTTTTATCTAAATTTATTGTTATGTATGATTTAGGAATTCTTTTTCTACAAAAATTTATTATTCTTTTTCTTCATTATCAATTAAAGCACGAATTCTGTGGGATTATTTATTTATTTAATCAAATAAAGTAATTAAAGTAAATTAAATAAAGAAAACAATAGCACTAAAAATGATAAAATTTTCTTTAAACAATATTTAAATTAAAAATGATTAAAATATTATTATATAAAAGATTGTGGCCCAAGCCAATGCTTTAGTGGCTCCGTTGCCGCTTACTGCGATAATGATCTCCAACACTGTTTTCAGTCTTCTGACATTTAATTCGATGCCACTACTACCAATTCTATCACTGTCTAATCATTTACTTCAATGACTTAACAAATCAATACCAAACTTCAAGGCCACTTCACTCCCATGCTTCTCGATGAGCATGATAGTTAACCCAAAAAACAGTAAAAGTTTCAAGTTTAGAACGTTTCGAGTAAAGAAATATGTACTAACCATCATATCAAATGCTTGGATTGTTTTCTCGAAATCAACAGGCAAAGACAGATTTTGCCTGGGTCATAACTAGGCCCGTAAATATTCGAATAGAACTCGATTATTATTAAGCTCGATTCGATTAAAAATATATAAAGTTAAGTTTGACTTAATTCAAAAGTCTCGAGCTTAAAATTGTTAAGCTCGACGTGAACTTGAAATAAAAATGAAGATCAACTCAAGTTGAAAAAAATTAAATCTGAAATATTCTCAGGCTTAGCTCAATTGAAGTTTGAACTCGATCTCGGTTCAAGCTCGAACCTGAATTTTAAGTATATAAAAAATTATATTTTATTTAAAAAATAATATTTAAATATTAATATTATTAGTAATCTAATTTTAAATTTTAATATATTATTTTTTTCAAGTTACTTGTGAACTTTTTGAATCTAATATCATATAACTTGTTTCGATTCGTTAAAAATTTGAGTTGAATTCAAGCTCGATTTAAATTTATTCAATTTGAATATCGATGAAATTAAAATCAAATAATTTATTATCTGTTTAAGAATTATAATCATAACTTTTTAACTTCTAATCATTTCCCTTTGCGTTGGATTCTTTGCTTTTTTTTTTTTAATTGAACCATTGAAGTGAAAATAGGTTACACGCAGGAAGAGGAGAACATGCTAACGAGCCCAACACCAGAGCGAAAGAGGCCATAGATCCTCAAAACACAAAAAGGCCTAACAACAAAGTCGCCTCAAAACGCAAAGCGAAAGGAAAAAAGAATAATTTGTTGGGAGTTGGGTCCGAGAGGCTCTCATCCCATAAACCTCGTATCTAAGATTGTAAATGAATAGTGATTGGCGAATTGTTCGATGTTTGTATAAAATTTGATTATATTTGTCTATTAAGTTAAATAAGTGGATATAAATAAAATTTTTATGTTCATTTAGTAATCGAATAAACAAAATCATAGGTGTGTTTGATTCGTTTATTTTCACAAACAAACTCATTTATTAGTTCGTTTATTGACTCGTTTACTCAAATCTCCTTTTATATTTTTACATTTAAAATATTGATAAAGATGGGGACTAAATTAAACAAACGATAAACTTTTTAGTTTAAATTGTGAAGCCTAAAGAAATTAAGGACTAGTGGCATAATTTCACTAATTTTCTTTAACATGTAAATAAAAAGATAAAACAAAAGAGTGTTGGTTTTCGAACATTAAATAAATATATTCGTAAATGTTAAACGAACATGTTTGTGAATGTTAAACAAGCATGATCGCAAACATTAAACAAGCATAATCGCAAACATTAAACAAGCATGTCTGTGACATATAATTAAATGCGTTGAAAACAAAAAAAAATTACCTCTAACTAAAATTGAGATAAAACGTGCCGAAAGACAAAGATAAATGTGTCGAAATATAAAAATTTTATGTCATAAAAAATAAATTATTAAAAACAAAAAATATATAAAGAAAAAAAAAAGAAATATCAACGACGACTATTAACATTAAGATTACCTCTAACTAAAATTGAGAAAGAAAAAGAACAAATAACAGTTTAGAGAAAAGAAGGTATATTTAAATGATTACATTCATAGTTGCAATCTTAGGCTTATAATTAAACCAAGAAGCAAATATTGGCGTTGATGTAGTGAGATAGAACGGACAAGACATTAAGGGCCATGCCGCACCACCATTACCTTGATGGTTGGACAACATTGGCTTTTGCTTTGTATCCACCAAAGCTTACATCAATAAAGCAAAGTATGGGTCTTTTATTTCTTCAAAACCACCAACCATTTTGATTATTACTACGTACAAACAGTAATCTCACAAGAACCACAAGTTTCCCTACAAAATACACTCTGCTGCTATCACTTCTAAGGTATGTTATTCCAACAAATTTGATGCTTAGTGTCGAGTCCAAATCGCTATAGCATAGATCCTTCTAGTGGGCAAGATATCAAATATTAAATATGTTGTTACATAATCTGATCAGGGAACTCAGTTGGATTCATATGACACAAATATCAACATTCGGTTAAATATACATTATGAAGATGAAGTAAAATGAGATTTGCTATAGTGAATTAATAACAATAATAACAAACCGACACCTAATTGATCTAGTGGGACGATGTACTAAATTCCTTAAATAAGATCAATGATATGAATTCTGACGTTTGCGTATGGAACAAACTGAACCGGGAGGGTTGTTCAAGTGGATGCATTTATATATTGTCAAGTGGATGCATTTATATATTGTCGATCTATGAATAACAATCATGATTCTAAGACTGACATCAATGCACATAAAGGGTTGATATATAAACCTTTATGCCAGGCAAGAAGGATCTTTTTCTTCATCTCTTCCTCCACAGAATCTCTCACAAATTTTGTTCTTTCATTTCTCTTTTCATTATTAGAGTTTAGATTATAACTTTTCATCCTAATTAAAAGAGATAAATTATCTGCCGCCGCCATAATCTCTTTATTACTATCTACTCTCTTTGAGATCTAACACGTATATTCCTATAAAGAAATGTATGCAGGAGAGATAAATAGTAGGATGTAGTGTTGAGGTCAAGAACAATCACATTGCCCAAGACAGGATGATCTTGAGCAGTGAGCAAAACATTATTTTCATAAAGATCAAATAATTGATCACATTATTAATCATCACATAGTTTGAACCTCCAATAGAATAATTATTGTCTGATTATGTTGGTGTTCATGAAAATCATCACTCCGTTAAAAAAATGTTCAATAGATTTCCTTATCAAACAATATTAGACTGCTGCTGCTCTGTCAAGGAAAGTCAAATTCCAGTTAAAATTATTAATTTAAATACTTAAAAAAATAAAATGGATGGAGTATGAAGCTGAAAAGCAATTAACCCCTTTTGCTACCAAGTAAGAGTGGTCAACAATCCACGATTCTCTGTCCATTTACAACATGATCGGGTCAACCATTAAGCTTCTTACATTTCGATTACGATAATCATATTATTTTTCTAAAAAAACGAACAATAAATTTTTGACCGGAAAGCAGTAAAGGGAAGGCAATTGATGGTTCCGTTCAAGTTCCAAGCAAGTGCTTTTCACCTTCTAGTTTCTCAATAACGTCGTAATCAACGGTTTCTTTAGAAGGAAAAGTAAAAATATTGGTAATAAAATTGACTCCTCCTCTCTTTACTTGTTTCATTTTAATTTGTTGTTGTTATAAACATTTATTTATTATCCGTGAATTTCATTATAAATTCCATTCCACGCGCTGCGTCGAAAGTGGGATACCAGTAATAATATATATATAAAGCAGCACAATTACCTAGAAGAGTAGAGGACTTGCTAAAGAAACGTCTGTTGCAGCTCAGTTCATTGATTTGCCTACTTCTTGACTCGCGCGTCCAGGCTTACGTGTTATTAACCCCTCCCCTCTTTTATCTGGTTGTGCTGATGATGGGATCGGCAGAAGAGAAGAGAATCGAGGATGAGCTGTCGTATCCTATTTTGCTAGCCGAACGGGTTCGCGCTGCGGCGGAGGAGGCTGAGTCGTTTAAAGTAGATTGTGCGGAGGTCGGGAAGCAAGTGGATCGACTTTCCCAAATGCTTCGACCCCTAGTCCGGTCAACCACCTCGGTTCAATCCCTCTACGAACGTCCGATTCGCCGGGTCGTCTCCGAGGTTTCGAAGAATCTTGAGCGAGCTCTCACGTTAGTCCGAAAGTGCAAGCGCCAGAGCATCTTGCGCCGGGTCGTGAGGATCACGAGCGCCACCGATTTCCGCAAAGTGTCGAACCTTCTAGACGCTTCCATCGGCGACATGAAGTGGCTCATGGGAGTCCTAGACACCGAGAACAACGGGACTGCCAGCGGAATCTTCCTTTCCCTCCCTCCAATCGCCAGCAACGACCCGATTATTTCATGGGTTTGGTCTTACATCGCCACAGTTCAAATGGGCCAATTGGCCGATCGAATCGAAGCCGCTAATAACCTCGCTTCCCTCGCTCGAGACAACGACCGAAACAAAAAGATAACCGTGGAAGAAGGCGGAATCCCTCCTTTGTTAAAACTTCTTAAAGAAAGCTCCTCACCCGAAGCCCAAATTGCAGCAGCTAATGCGCTTTTTGCTTTAGCGAACGAGCAGGAAAGAGTTAGGAGTATTCTTGATGAAATGGGGGTTCCAATTGTGGTTCAAGTGTTGGGAGATTCTCCAGTGAAGGTTCAAATTCCGGTGGCTAAACTGGTGGCAACAATGGCGGAGCACGATCCGCTGGCTCAGGAGGATTTCGCCAGAGAGAATGTAATTAGGCCGTTGGTGACTCTGTTATCGTTCGAGACGTTTGTGGAAGATTCTAAGGCACCGTTGGGTAAGCAAAGCATTCATTCTATAGTTATAAATAAAGAATTGGAGAAATTTTCTTCAACTGGATCGAATTCAAGGAATTTTAGTTATAGACCGTATGGAAATTCTTACTCGAATTTACACTTGGAAGGAAGTAGTAGGGGAGGAAATCATAGGAAAGAAAGGGAAAATGAGAAGCCCGAAGTTAAAATTCAGTTGAAAATTAATTGTGCTGAAGCTTTATGGTTGCTTGCTAAAGGGAGTGTTTCGAATAGTAGGAGGATAACCGAGACAAAAGGATTGCTTTGCTTGGCTAAGTTGGTGGAGACAGAAGAAGGTGAATTGCAATATAATTGTTTGATGGCAATAATGGAGATTACAGCAGCTGCTGAATCCAATTCTGATCTTAGACGTGCAGCTTTTAAGACGAATTCACCCGCTGCTAAGGCTGTTATTGATCAGCTTTTGAGGGTAATCAAGGAATTAAATAGCCCTACATTGCAAGTTCCTGCTATTAGATCAGTTGGTTCATTGGCAAGGACTTTCCCAGCTAGGGAGACTCGAGTGATTGGCCCTTTGGTGAAACAGCTTGACAATAAGGATCAAGAAGTGGCAGTGGAAGCTGCAATTGCACTGCAGAAGTTTGCATGTCCAGATAATTTTCTCTGTATGGATCATTCAAAGTCGATAATTGAGTTCAACGGTGTTCCATTTTTGATGAGACTGCTTAGATGCGGTGACAGAGCACAGCTGCACGGGTTAGTACTGCTCTGCTACCTTGCCATACACGCGGGCGATAACGAGGCTTTGGAACAAGCTAGGGTTTTGACTGCCCTGGAGGGAGCAGACCGAATGGTGGTTGCACATCATCCTGATTTGAGAGAATTGGTGTCGAGGGCCATATATCAGCTCAACCTTTATCACACCGGAGCCCATCCGCAGAGGCAATTGTATGCACCTTGAATGTCCCCCTAAAATTCTATTGATCTGCATTTCAGGTTGGTATGAAGGCAAGCTGAGAGGGCAAAACACAAATATACAACATTTGGTCGGTTAGAAAAAAGGAATTGTTTTATCAAAGTTGACAGGTTCCTGCTCAACTAATTATTCACTGTTAAAAAAATGCTTAGATGCTTTATTGCTTTTTTAGTGAACATAAAACTGCTTGTGAATATTTCCATTTTTGTTATATGGACATTGAATATTTCCTATAGTTGCTAACAATAGTTATAGCCTTAATAATAAGAAGAATAAGAGTAAAGTTTATATAAATATTTATAAATTAATAATTAATTTTTTACTTATTCATATATTTATGCTCTAATCATATTATTTTCTGTCTTTATATTTCAATGATTTTATTATGTTGCATCTCAATTTGTTTCATATTTATTATAAGCTCCCAGTTATATAAACACATTTAAAAACAAAAGTTCAAATGTTTTCATATTTTATAGCAAAATAAAATTCAATAAGAGAATAAAAGTAAAACTTTAACATATATGTGTAAATGTGTTTTTAAAATTTTGAGTTTGGATGAGAAACATCATTGGCAAAGATGATTCTACCAAAAACGAGTCGAGCTCAATCCATTTGTGCCACAGGTAAAATTCCCCCCCCCCCCCAAAAGCCCACGACTCAACATAACTTCTCCTTTTAAGTACCTACTTTGTTTATGCTATGAAATAATTTTATTATAGATTTTAAAATTCAATATTTTAATTATAAATTTATTTATAATATAATAGTCGGTAAACTACGCCAGTAGCACCTAAATTTTAACCTTTGATCCAATTTAGTACCTTAACTTCCAATTATTTTAAAATTATACCAAATATTTAGTTTTTATTTCAATTTAGTATCTCACCGTTAAAAACTTAACATTATATTTTTTTAATTATTATTTAATCAATTTTATTCGAGTAATAAAATAATGACACGCTTTTAATTATTTAATTATTATTTAATCAATTTTATTCAAATAATAAGGTGGTGTACAAAACCAAGATTTAATTCCTAAAAGGGAGCATAAGAGGACTTGAAATCGGGTCTACTGGGGGAAGAGAGGCGCTTAACCATATGCACTAGGGCAGAATACTGGTTTGTCAACGCCAAGGATATTTAACTTATATTAAGCTGTCACTATAAAATGAAAGAAAATTGTTAGATATATGATTCGAACTTAGGACATCTCCCAAAATATTCAATCATTAAATCAGATTAAAAATTAATTTAATAAATACCAAAATTATTTTTTAACTTATTTTAATATAAAATTAAATAATTTTTTATTTTAATTTAAGATAATTAAATAATTATTTACATATTTTGTAAAATCAATATTAGTTTATTTTAAAAATCATATGATTATATTATAAGTAGTTTAAAATTATAAGTATTTAATAATTTAAAAATACAATTTAAAATTATTTCTATTTGTTTAATTATTAAAATTTAAATATAAACTTCTAATTTATAATAATTTATTAAAATAAATATAAATAATTATTTAAACAATTTTAAGGATATAATAAAAATTTTAATTTAATATTTTTCATAATTATTTAATCAAATAAATAAATATAAATAGTAATTTTAAATATTTATTGAATTATTTTCTTATTTCTAAATGATAAATTATTTAATTTTAATTTTTTATAAGTTAAAAAATAATTTTGGCATTTTATAGTGATATTTTAGTATATGTTAAATATACGCTTTGGCATTTAGGACCAAGGGTCTGCTGTAACTCAGATGGTTGAGAGACTCTCTCACCCTAAACCCAGGTTCGAAGCTGTAAAACCCTCCTTTGCGGATTTTTGTCTCCACCTTATTAGTCGATTTAAACTAAGTAAATAATAATTAAAAAATACCACATCGGTTCTGCCATAAAGTTTTTAACTTTAGGTACTAAATTAAAACAAAAACTAAATGTTAGGTGTAATTTTAAAATAATTAGAAGTTCAGGTACTAAATTAGATCAAAGGTTACAGTTTAAACTTGTTTTAATTAAATGCTAAGTGCGATTTTAAAATAATTAAAAGTTGAAGTATTAAATCAAATCAAAGGTTACAGTTTAAACGTTAGGTTAAGTATAAACGTTAGGTATGATTTTAAAATAATTGGAAGTTCAAGTACTAAATCGGATCAAAGGTTACAGTTTAGGTACTAATAGCGTAGTTTACCCTATAATAATTTGTAATGTAATTTACCTTAAAAATTAATCATTTTTATTGAGATTTCAACTCTATTGTTTGAACCATATATATTATAGTATATTTCATTAGAAAGAGATCCTGAATAAAGTCTTAAAAATCTATGTATTATATTTAAATTTTGTTTTAATCTCTATTATAAAAAGAAATATTGTAATCCTTATATTATACTTGAAGGTTCATTTTAGTTTCTTTATTATAAAAAATAATATCTAAGTCCTTGTATATTTACAAGGTTAACATTTGAGTCCAAAACACTAAAAATATTGTTAATAAATTTAAATATGTTTGGTTTAAACACTCGCCACGTCCATCTCAATTTTAAACTCGAGCAAGTTTTTTCTCTCTAACAACAGTTTCTACATAAAAATTTTAAATACTTATGAAATTAACTACAAAATTAATTCATTTTCTAACTTCAAACGTCTTCACTTACAATAATATTATAATAAAATTATTTAAAAAATATAATATTATCTCCAGGTGAAAGTGTCATCCCCAACTATCCTCCAACATTTTTGATAAAAGGTTGGTTTATCCTATTTGAACTCGAAGACTTATTCGAATACTATTTTATAAAAACATATTTAAATTAAACATTCTCAAACTAGACCGATAGTATTGTCTCATTGTCGTAGATATTATAGCTATTAGCTTAATGGAAGAATGATCTCAGATTGAACCAACAGAATTATAAAGCTTATGCTATGAGAGAACATTTACCCACTCATAAGCAATAAAATAGCTGTTCAATCTTGAATAAAATATATAATTGTAGACACACTTTTTCTGTCCATACGTATATATATTATGTATATATTATTATTATTATTATTATTATTATTATTATTATTTTCATTAAATTAACATACTTTTATTTGTTTTGTAAAGCCCAAACAGCCCAAGGTCCATTACAAATGGTGACCCAATGCCAACAAACCCAGTTGGCCCAGCAGTCCAACCCAACAGCATCCTAGAACTCTTGCAGACCCGAATCTTGGAGCAACCCGAACCAACCCAAGCTGTAACCCGAACGGACCTGACCTGAAACCCTAAAATAGATTAGGGTTTTCAACATCTCAGTCGCCAGTCGCCCCTCGATTTCCACCGTTAGATATGGACCCACTCAACGGTCCAGATCGCACTAGAGATTAGGGTTTCACAACCCTAAGCCCCCCACTCCAGCACCGTTCCAGCCGCATCCAACAACCCCTCCCCAGAGTTCTCGGCACCAACATCACCAAGTAAAAAAAACAAACAACAAGTCAGGATTCTCAACAACCGAAAAGCAAGCAGATTAGTCCTATTATGAGTTTAAAATCGAACGGAAATAGATTTTTTAACACTATAAATGGATGTAAAATCACAAGGCAAGAGGACAATAAATACTCATAAAATACACAAGAAAATCACGAGAGCAATACTCAAGAAGTCGAAGATTTTTGTAAATTTTTGAATAAAAGGTAAAGGTCTCACCTTTCTCGGTTTCGTGCTTGCATGTGGGTGTTTTGTATATTTTCTCTCTGTTTTGACCCCGAAAAAAAAAAGGTCGACTGATGAACATGGAGGAGGATTTCAAGAACTTTATTCTCAGATCTAGCCCTCCCTGAGGTGATTTTCAAAAAACCATTTTGATTTTTGAAAAGAGGGTGAAAGAGCTTTCTAAAAATGATTTTTTTTGTTCGTCACTGATAAACGACGACCGACCGAAATATGGGTTCATAGGAATCTAGGCGGCCGTGTTCTTCAACCTGAAGAACAAGTTAAGAGAAAACTAAAAGGGGGTTCGATCGGTTTGGAAAATAGAAGAATGAAAAGTTGTGTTTAATTTTTGGGTTTTATAATGACCCACCGACCTGACCTGTGACCCGATCCAACCCGGCCAGGATCCGCGTGTTTTCAATTAAAAAGGGGATAATTGCATTCACAGTCCCTCGTTTGTTTTTAAATTCCATTTTGACCCTTAAATTCAATTTTTACCCCGATTTGCTTTCTAATTTTACCACCCAATTTGATTTTCTTTTAATTTAGTCCTTCATTATTATTATTATTATTATTATTATATATATTAATTTTTTACGTTGCAATTAATTTCATTTTTTTCTTTATTTATTCTATTTATTTAACTTAATATATATATATATATATATATATATATATATATATATATATTTTCTTTTTATTTTTTATTTTTCATTTTATTTCTCTTCTTTTAGGGGTTTTATATTTTATTTTGTTTCATTTTTTTCATGTTGAATTCATTTTTTTATTTTAACTTTTTTCCTCTTTTCAACTTAGCTACATTTTTGGGTATATTTTTTTTATTTTTTTGCTATCTTTATGTGTTTATTTGTTTTTTTCCCTTATGTTTAAAGTATCATAATTTAATGTACATTATCTCATTTGATTTGTTTAGTGTTTTTACTTTATCAATCTAACATTTTTTTTAATTTCTTAAGGGTATTCTTTTAAATTCATTGAAGGTAAGTAATTTGGATCGAACTTTTATCTTTTTTTTAACTTGCAATTTTCTCAATTAAGACAACTGAAAATTAATTAGTACCGAAAGGGCAGTTCAAGGGTGTTAATCCTTCATTGACTGTAACCGACTCCCGAATCCGACATATTTTTGGTAAGACGCAGATCAAGTAAGATGGTATCCAATCAACCTAAATAATGTTTTTAAATGATCGGTGACGGCTCTAATATTTTCTCAAGTCGAAGCTTAATTCTAGGCCCACCCGAAATACAACTGCAACAATAATATTAAATCATTTTAATATAAATTAATATTTATGTTATTGTCACGTAAACCATTGAAAAGAAACCCAAAAAAGAGAAAATTTTGACACTATTTCTTTCATCATTGAACATTGTTAGTCATTGTATTCAAATTAAAAAAGGTTTACTAATTTCTAACATGAAAACTCTAATTTGATCTTCTTATGTCATTTTCAACTCATGCCTGCCTTTCAATTAAATTAAATTTAATTGATATTATTATTGATATAATATAAAATTTTATATATTTAAAATTTTATAATTATCAATTAACTTTAATTTAATTGATATTATTATTAATATAGTATATAAAAAATATAAAATTAAATATATTTAAATATTCATTTTTTTTAAATTTAAAATAAAATAAATTCTAAATAATCTGAGTATTATATAACAAAATTTTATGATGACCCCATGATCAATCAGCAAGTCCATTCAATTTAAAGCCTTCTAACCTTTGACCACAATCACTTGTTTACTGGTCAAAATTGTCGGAGGCGGCTTTCGCCTAACATTTCGCCTAACAGTCTTATCTGATGTCTCGCCTCAATACAATATTAAATTCAATTAGAGAATAAATTCATCAAATGAATTTAGTAATAAAAATAAATGTTATTTTTTAGAAATATAGGATTTTAAAATATGTATCTACCGTGTGTAGTTGGTTAAAAAAATTCTGAATAAATATTATCTTATAATCATTTAGATTTTGTAAATTGAAATTTAGATTTTGTTTAAATCTAATGAATTGAATAATAATATAATTAAAATATTAGATTTATTATTATTAAAGTTTACGGATTGATTACATGTTTAGTTAGTAGTAAATTTAAATTTTTTAAAATAAATGTGAAGTTCATTCATCTATATTATTATATTTTCTAATTATATTGCAATTATTATTAAAAAAAGAAGAAGTAAGACTGAAGTCTCCTCCACATCCACATGATGCTTTGGCAACGTAAACATCCCGCAAGATTTGTTGGGTCATAGTTGATCAGAGAGCAGTCCTCACACGTCTTCACTTGACTCCACCTTATATCACAATATTTGTTATTCTTCTTTCTATCCTACAACGTACCAAGTACCTCTTTTCCAATTATTTCTTCCACATTGCTCATGGCCCACCATTATTACAAAATAATATATATTTAAAAAAAATTAATCAGTTAATAATAAATATTCATATACTTTTATAAACGTCGTACTTAAACTCGAGACCTCAAAAGATAACAATTATTCCTTTAACTACTTGTTCAATGAATTAATCATAAATGTGAAACCAGCATAAAACATAAAATGAAATTCAACTTTTAATTATACACTGATACCATTATACCAATACATACAGGCACCGCGACGTCGACGTTGCATACCCCTACAAACCTAAACAAATGACACTGGTTTTGCCATGGGAAAACGACAAAGTTATAATCTTACAAGCTCTTCCTATCAAATTGTAACAAAATTCAGACCCCCATAAGGGTTCTGACAACCATCCATTTAAACCACATCTTTCCACAAGTGCTGTCATTTTTATTTTGAGAGAGAGCAGGTTTTTTTAATCCCCTTTTCAGTATTTATGGAGGCTTTGAAAACGGCCACTTCTTATGTAAACAATTTGAAGTGCCAAAGAGGAATTGAATTCGGATATGATTTGCAGCATGTTATAGTGGATATCACGTGATGTATACACTGAAGATTTCAGTGGCCCTACTACTGCGTATACCTCTAACTAGGTGGCATGTGCCATATTTAAAATCAGTATAATGACTTCAATGATTAAAGAATTGTAATTATTTATTAACGTTTTAAATTCGAACATGATGTCTATAAAAATATATGAATGTCTATTATTAAATTATTAAAAGTATTTCGAATATATACTACGGGTATAATCTGAATTCTCAGCATATTCTTATTACATTATTTACCGCATTGTTCCCTTGTCTCCTTTAATGGTACAGATGAAAACAGACTCAAGAAGAATGTATTACTTAAAAGAAAAGCTTTTTTTTAACAATGACAGATTAGCCACCCACATCCCATGTGGGTCTCCAATAATATCACTAAGTATTTGACCTATTAGGGTTGTTTAATGGTAGACAGTCTTTGTTGAAACGTGTTGAATCATTATCGCTTCAATCTCAAAGCTCTGATCCCTATAAAGCCTTGTCTAAAGTTTATATAATGAAAACCCCAGATTAGGTTAAGTCCCCCTTGTCACTTTTAAAACTATGCCTCCACATTCTCCTACTTTAAACAAATGGATTAACCCCCTTTAAAAAAAATAAACATTCCACTTTGATTATCCTAATTCAAAAGAATATTAATAGTTAGTACCGGAGAAATAGAAATGCAAGTGACATTGTCAATTATTGGTGTTGCAGAACTTGATCAGTTTAAACCCTTGCATAGGATTCTAATCCAGGTCTTACAACATGTGTATTGTCCTTTTCTTGGGGGTGGGAGATTGAGTTATATCACAAAAAGGTGAAAAGCATTACAAAGAATCTTCCCACTATCATAAGTCTTAAAAGTGATAATTATTATCGATATCCAAAAGAAAATATTATTTTCTTTAAAAATATTAAATTTGAATAATTTGATCCCTGAAAAGCCATGCTTAAAGTCTAAAAAGGGATAAATATGGCAGAGGCTCCCCTCAGTGGATCTTGTGTGCTAAGCGATTTGTCTCGGTCGATGAGCTAGTATATTGGAACATCCGTTCAGCATCTTCTTTGCCATTTTTCTTATTAATACATACCCATGACGATTGCAAATATTTTGAAAAATTTTGAAGCTTTGAATCTATTGGACACTTTATTTTTTACCAACTTTTGGCGTAAGTTGTATGACCCTTGGTAGATTTTGACTTGCATGTGTCCGCCACCCCCCCCCCCCGGGCGGGGAACGTGAACAGTTTCAAAAAAAGCAGCAGCAAGATATCAAATAAACTGGAAAATAAAAATTAAACTCAGTGAGTGCAAAATAGATTTGATACAAGCAAGAAAATATAGTTACTAACTAGTTAATACTACTACATATATAGAAACTTCCAAGGTAAAAAAGGGAAATGGAAAAGGAGTTAAATTTCGACATGTTATTTATTTAAGAATTCATCTGTACATAAACTTCTAGTGATCGCTACCATTAAAATACCCTAAAATAGGGGGGGGGGGAATGATGAACATGTTACAATAGATCATGGTGAGCTTTTTTAAACATGGCGTATGAAGACAGTCTCCAAATCCGGTGGAGTAAAGAACTGTCTAACAGTTACGTAATTACACTTCAAATTAGGCTTCCTCTTCATGGGAGCAGGTGGACATGTCAACAGCGTTGGAATTCTCGCTTCCCGTCCAGTTGGAGTGGTCGAACACGATTCTTCTTCTTCTTCTTCTTTATCTTTGCGATCATCCACTGGATTTGTGTAAATAGGGTTCAACGGAGCTCGTAAAGAGATGCCGGCAATGACCCATTTTTTGCCATCGGATTCCAAGCCTGCTCCTCCTCCATCCACCAGTTGAGGCTTCCCTGAAACCCCCATATCTCTTTGGAAGGGATGAAAGAATAAAGACGTAGTTTTCCCTTGTGCGGAGGGAATCAGTAGGAAAGGAGAAGGAAAGTCATGGAAAGGAAATGAAAAGGAAGAACATGGGAAGAATGGAGATGTTGGTTTAAATAAACAAAAAGGAGGAATTAATGGGGGAGGGAAGGGGGCAAAGCTTGAATGTTGTGTTTATACTGATCAGATAGAGATAAAAAAAGGAACCCGAGGAAACTCGTGAAATGACATAAGCAAACCCACTTCTATCCAATTAAAAAATTTGAAGTTAAAAATTAAAAATACTGACGGCAGAGGCAACTACTTCTATAAGTTGCCCGTGAAAATAGCTGACCGCGGGCACCCTTCCGAAATTTTTTTTTATTAATATGAATAATTACAATATAAAATTTGTTTAGAGATAATTTTTAATTATTTAATATTAAATATTTATACTTTTTATATTGTTGGTACTCGGATTTTAAATCCCAAATAATAATAGTACTTTTTTTATCATTAAAGCCAGTGGAGTTGGTGCTCTAAAAATTGGGGCTTAGGGATTGACTTGGATTTTGGCGCCAAACTTTGGGGTTGAAGGTCGTATGCTGAGCTATAGGATAACCCATGGTTTCCCTCTTTTATTTCTTTCTTTCTGCAGTTTTGGCTGTCTGGTTTCCGGTTATCTCGTTGCTGTTTGTAATATTTTCTAGAAAAAAATATTATAATTAATTACTATTATAGATATTGTTCAATATATTAAGAAAATGAGAAAAATAAAAAAATATATACCTATTTTATTTTTAAAAATAATATTAAATTTTTTGAATCTCTATATTAAAATTCCTAGATTTGAGAATACTATATATAGTTATAATGATTGTGTATAAGATACCGTCAACTACGATTATTATAAATACTTCTCATCTACAATTGAGACAATAATCTTTTTTGAGAAGTATCTTCTTTTATTTTTGACTTAAATACTCAAATATTTTCCATTATGTATTCGCTTGTCTTAATGGAATAAAAGAACAGATGATTGTTTTTATACCAACTACGACTCTCTATTAAAATAAAATAAAATAAATCATTAACGATCTATATATAACTCATTTGTTTTCATCACCATCGTATTCATTTTTATACAAATTTTTGTGATTAGATAAATCCTCAAACAAAATTTATATACGTTTAAATTAAGCGCATTACGTCTTTTAAACTACTTATTAAAAAGTGGTCGGTTGTTGAAGTTTTAAAAATTATTATTTAAGAAATATAATTTAATATTCAAACTTTATATTTTATGAAACAAAAAAACTCTAAATTTAAATGAAAATTACGGAAATAGTCCCTTTGGGGTTTGGCAAAGTTGCAGTTGTAGGAAAAATATGGATGAATAGATTGAATCATTACTATTCATGAAAAATAATTAAGTCTTTTATTTTTCATGAAAAATAGTTATTTCATTTTTTTCTAAAGGTCAAGTCTTTCCATGATAACCTTTTGATTAAAAGGTTATGATTTTTAATCAAATGGTTAAGTCATTTCATTTAAAGGTCTTAACCTTTCAATAAAGGTCTTAACCTTTCAATCCTCTCCCTATATAAAGGTTAAGTTGTGACACATTTCAACACACAACTTTCTACTATTCTCTTTCAAATATTTTACTTTTAATTCTCTGATTCTTTCAAAGTCATTTTCCGGTGATAGATAAAGACAAAGATTGTGTTCGATTGTTTACTACGGTTGTGCTTACTGTTGTGAACGTTTGTTGTTGTATCCTGAGAGACCGGCGTCCAACGTTACTTAAAACACCGAGGAGAGGACGAATATGTCTTAAGGAAACTGTTCATTCAGGCTTCAACAAAACTTTTCTTCTATTGATTCAGTTCCACCCGATTACAGGTTCTATTTTAATTTCACATTTTTTAAACGTTATTATTATTGAAACGAGATTTTTTAAATTATAATACTATTTTTTCAATATTTGCAACAACCTTAAGATAGAATTATTGTGTTGTAGTTCAATCTAAACTCAAATAGATTACCGTGGTAATATATTTAAGCTAATATATATTTCGTTTCATATTATATTTAAGTTAATATATATTTCGTTTCATATTATATTTATTATTTCGGTTTTGATTCCGATTACAGAAAAATGTCTGATACTTCATCCAATTCACAGTCCAATGCGATTGTCTCTACACAGACTCAGGCTGCGAGCCAAACGTTACCTATGACCATGAGTTATAATGAAAAGCCTGCGAAATTCAATTGAGAGAATTTCAAAACATGGCAACAGAAAATGTTGTTTTATTTGGCGACATTCAATCTGGCCAAATTTTTTAAGGATGATCCTCCTACTATTAGAGAGGATGAAGTGGATGCTGCAACCACATTCAACATTACCAAAGCATGAAAGCACTCAGATTTCCTATACCGTAACTACATCTTGAATGGTTTATCTGATGTATACAACGTAAAGAAAACGACTAAGGAACCATGGGAATCATTGGACCATAAATACAAAACTGAAGATGCTGGTGCTAAGAAATTCTTAGTTGTCAAATTCCTAAATTTTGTAATGGTTAATTCTAAAACTGTTGTGAATCAGGTGCAAGAATTCCAACTGATCATTCATGGTATTCTCGCAGAAGGGATGATTATAAGTGAATCCTTTCAAGTGGTGACCATTATTGAAAAACTTCCGCATGCTTGGAATGACTTTAAGAATTATCTTAAACATAAGAAAAAAGAAATGACAGTGGAAGATCTGATTGTGAGACTTCGAATTGAAGAAGACAATCGATGTGTGACTAAAAGGCTAAACAAAACAACCAATCATAACATTGCCAAGGCAAATGTGGTGGAAGTAAAAAAAGGACTTCAAGAAAAGAAAGCAAGCTCAAATTGAGTCTAAACTAGGACCAAAAGGCGGTGTTTCTAAGAAGCAAAAATTCCAAGGGAAATGCTTTAATTGCAATAAGATGGGACACATGTAATCCGAATGTAGGCTTCTAAAAAGGTCCAGAACAAAAGAGGTTAATGTTGTGACAGAAATTTCCAAGGAAGTATCTGAACTTGACATATGTGTTGTGGTCTCTGAAGTTAACTTGGTTGATTCAAATCCAAGAGAATGGTGGCTTGATACTGGTGCCACACGCCATATTTGTTGTGACTATGACTCCTTTGCTGAGTTGGTTTCTTGTGAGAAAAGAGAAAAGCTCTATATGGGCAATGCTGCAACTTCCAAGATCAAGGGGAAAGTCACTGTAATTTTAAAGATGACTTCTGGAAAAGAGTTGAAACTTCAAAACGTGTTGTATGTGCCTGACATACGAAAGAACCTTGTCTCTAGGACCCTCCTAAGTATACATGGCTTTAGGATGGTGTTTGAATCCCATAAGATAGTTTTATCAAAAGGGGGAATATTTGTGGGAATGGGATATGTATTGAACAATATGTGGAAACTCAATGCTATCTCTGTAAAAGCTAAAAATATAAATAAGAATGATTCTTCTTCTTTTTCTGTTTATATGAATGAGTCATTAAATTTATGGCATGGTAGACTCGAACATGTTAATTATGATACTTTACGTAGATTAATTAACTTAGAACATATTCCTCCATTTCACATTAATTATAATCATAAATGTGAAACATGTGTTGAAACTAAACTAACAAGGTCTTCATTTAAACCCATTGAAAGAAATATGTAACCTCTTGATCTAATACACAGTGATGTTTGTGACTTAAAATTTGTTCAAACTAGAGAAGGGAATAAATATTTTATTACCTTCATTGATGATAGCACAAAATATTGCTATGTATATTTGCTTAAAAGCAAAGATGAAGCTATAGAAAAATTTATTCTCTATAAGTAGGATGTTGAAACCCAACTTAACAAAAGGATTAAGAGGGTGAGAAGTGATCGTGGTGGTGAATATGTTGAACCATTTGGTCAATATTGTGCACAACATGGTATTATTCATGAAGTAACACCACCATACTCTCCTCAATCGAATGGAGTAGCAGAACGGAAAAATCGAACATTAAAGGAAATAATGAACGCTATGCTAAGAAGTTCTGGGTTGTCACAAAACATATGGGGGGAAGCTGTCTTATCAGTAAATTACCTTTTAAATTAGGTGCCTCATAAGAAAAAAGACAATACACCATATGAGTTGTGTACACCCTCCTACAATTACTTGAAAGTGTGGGGGTGTCTTGCAAAGGTAATGGCTCCTTTATCAAAGCAAATGAAAATAGGTCCTAAAACAGTGGATTGTATTTTCATTGGCTATGCTCACCACATCAATGCATATAAATTTCTTGTGCATGGATCAAAAAATCCAGAAATTCACAAGAATACGATATTAGAATCTAAAAATGCCTCATTCTTTGAAAATATATTTCCTTGTAAAATTAGAGAAGTTGGCTCAAGTTCAAGGAAACGAACTTTAGAAACTATTAATGAAAATAGTCAAGACTTCCAACAAGAGATTGAAGTCAAGATAGAGCCAAGAAGAAGTAAAAGGACACATGTAGAAAAATCCTTTGGATCGGATTTTCTAACCTATATGCTAGAGACTGAACCTGTAACTTATTGCGAAGCTATACATTCACTTGAAAGTAATTTTTGGAAAGATGCCATCAAGAGTGAAATTGATTCCATCATGCAAAATCATACGTGAGAATTAGTGGATCTTCCTCATAGAATTAAACCATTAAATTCTAAATGGATTTTCAAACAAAAAATGAAAGAAGATGGAACAATTGATAAGTACAAGGCCAGATTGGTTATTAAAGGGTACCGACAAAAGGAAGGTCTTGATTACTTTGATACATATTCAACCGTATCAAGAATAACTTCTATAAGAATGATACTTGCAATTGCCGCTTTACGTAATTTAGAAGTACATCAAATGGATGTTAATACCGCTTTTCTTAATGGATACCTTGATGAGGAAATTTACATGGAACAACATGAGGGTTATGTAACTCCAAGACAAGAAAAGAAAGTATGTAAGTTGGTAAAGTCATTATATGGACTTAAGCAAACACCAAAGCAATGTCATGAAAAGTTTGATAGTGTTATGATATCAAATGGATTTAAAATAAATGAGTGTGACAAATGTGTGTATGTCAAAATCACTGTTGATGGGTATGTAATCCTATTCCTATATGTTGATGACATACTCATTGTCGGAAGTAACAATAAAATGATAAAACGTACAAAAAATATGCTAAATTC